ACTATATGGTTAGACAGCAGATTTCTAAGGTTTTCAGGCCCAAGCACAATAACTTCAGTTTTGTCAGAGTTTAGAAGTAAGAAGTTGCAGGTCATCCAGGCCTTTATGTCTTTAAGACATGCTTGAAGTTTGACCAGCTGACCTGATTCATTTGGCTTCATAGATAAATATAACTGAGTATCATCTGCCTAGCAATGGAAATTTATGTTGTGCTTCCTGATAATATTGCCTAAAGGGAGCATGTATAAAGTGAAGAGAATTGGACCTAACACAGAGCCCCATGGAACGCCGTGACTAACTTCAGTTTGTGTAGAACATTCGTCATTAACATGAACAAATTGAAATCTTTCTGATAAATAAGATTTTAACCAACTTAGCGCAGTTCCTTTAATCCCAATAACATGTTCAAGTCTCTGCAGTAAGATGCTGTGATCATCAGGGTCACCTGATCCAGCCCTAACTATAAGCTTTATCAAAAAGGAACGTCTTAAGTATGCTTTATAATTTGTAATCAAGCATGATTTACAACAGACTGTGGCTGAACCCATCTTTTTTGGCACGTTCTGATATAAATTACAGAAATCTGAGAAGAAAACAGTTTCTATGTGAAATGTGATATGTTGTACACCATAGCACACATTAGATGTTGTTGTAATCTTTGCACTTTTCATATGAATTACTTGAAATGTGACTGCAACATATTAAAATAAACAAGAAGGCAGAGGCATTCTTGGCCCGGTCATAGGGCAGTGGTTGCTGTCAACCTGGAGTTTCTGGTTAATTTACCGGGCACCTTAAATCACAAGCCATTTAAATAGGTCATTTTTAATAATGGGCTATTTTAATTTGGGTTGTAATTCTAATGATATTTTACTTAGTTTTAGGAATATGTGCGTTTAGTTGTTACTATGGTTACATTTACAGTCTTATGCAAAAGTTTAGGCACGCCTTGATAAATAACAGATTTTGGTGATTTTTTATTTGAACAGATGTTAACACAGTTTCTCTTGGAAATGGAAAAAATGCACAATATTTTCTGCAAACAGTGATGCATAGTTACTTCTTATGCCATAAATTGAACAAAAATAAAAAATAAAAACATTATTATGGCATGGTGCAAAAGTTTGGGCACCCTAAGAGTTCCAGAGTCTCAAAGTCTCTCACAAGGTTTCAGACCTTAATCAGCTCGTTAGATCTGATGCACAGCAACAGCTGTCATTGGTAAATGCCAATTTCAAAGCTGTACAAATACTTTGACTCTTCAAACCTTGTGCACACACTTGCGGACACCCAGCAACCATGGGTTCCTCTAAGCAGCTGTGTAAGACCCTGAAAATGAAAGTTATTGATGCCCACAATGCAGGAGAAGGCTACAAGAAGATAGCAAAGCGTTGTCAGCTTGCAGTTTCCACAGTAAGAAATGTAATTAAGAGATGGCAGATCAGGGGAACTGTGGAGGTCAAGATGAGATCTGGAAGACCAAGAAAACTCTCGGACAGAACTGCTCGTATGCTGGTCAGAAAGACAAATCAAAACCCCCATTTGACTGCAAAAAACCTGCAGGAAGATTTAGCAGACTCAGGAGTGGTGGTGCACCGTTCCACTGTGCAGCGATGCTTGCACAGACAAGGCCTTCATGGAAGAGTCAGCAGAAGAAAACCTTATCTGCGTCCCCATCATAAAATCCAACGTCTGAAGTATGCAACAGGACATCTACAGAAGCCCGATGCGTTTTGGAAACAAGTGCTGTGGCCTGATGCAGTTAAAATAGAACTCTTTGGACACAATCAGCAAAGGCATGTTTGGAGAAAAAAAGGAGCAGCATTTCATGAAAAGAACACCTTGCCAACTATTAAGCATGGGGGTGGATCTATCATGCTCTGGGGTTGTGTTGCAGCCAGTGGCACAGGAAACATTGCACGGGTGGAGGGACGAATGGATTCCACTAAATACCAGCAAATTCTGGAAGCAAACATCACACCATCTGTAAAAAAGCTGAAGCTGAAAAGAGGATGGCTTCTACAACAGGACAATGATCCTAAACATACCTCGAAATCCACTATGGAATACCTCAAGAGACGCAGGCTGAAGGTTTTGGAATGGCCATCACAGTCCCCTGATTTAAACATCATTGGAAATTTGTGGGTAGATCTTAAAAGAGCTGTGCATGCAAGACGACCACAGAATATTACAGAACTAGAAGCCTTTTGCAAGGAAGAATGGGAGAAGATCCCACGTACAAGAATTGAAAGACTTTTAGCTGGCTATGAAAAGTGTTTGCAAGCTGTGATATCTGCCAGAGGAGGTGTTACTAAGTACTGATTGTGTAGGGTGCCCAAACTTTTGCACCATGCCATAATAATGTTTTTATTTTTTATTTTTGTTCAATTTATGGCATAAGAAGTAACTATGCATCACTGTTTGCTGAAAATATTGTGCATTTTTTCCATTTCCAAGAGAAACTGTGTTAACATCTGTTCAAATGTTTCATTTCAGAGCCTCCCTTACAAAGGCAGTATTCTCAAAGGACTGAGCCCAGGGCAGCACATCACAATCAAAGGACAGGTCAGCATGTATCCTCACAGGTAATCCTCACACTTATCTCAGAATGACAAAGCTGTCTATATGAATGACCTTTTCTTCTTGTTACTGCTGTGCTGCTTATATCAGAACAAGTAGCTTTGTTTTTAAAACGATTTACCTGTCGTCCATGTTTCTCCCAGTTTCACAGTGAACCTCCGCAACAGCAGGACTGAGAACATCGCTCTCCATCTGAACCCGCGCATGAAGTCGGGCATGTTCATCAGGAACTCATACCTGAGTGAGTCCTGGGGCCAGGAGGAGCGGGAGCTGCCCTTCTTTCCCTTCTCATCAGGCGAGTACTTTGAGGTACAAACCACCTATGCCTTCAGTCAGTTAATGTCAAAACACAAGTTGATCTTGAATTGCATCTCATGTTTGTGAGATCTGTAATGATGGGTTCCTCTGTGTATTTGGTTGTTTTTCTGTCAGATTCTCATCCTCTGTCAGCCCCATCAGTTCAAGCTGGCAGTGAATGGCTCACACTTGTTTGAGTTCAGACATCGGGTGCAGGACCTGAGCAGCATTGACCAGCTGGAGATCATGGGAGACCTGGAGCTTACTGATGTGAAACTGTGGTGACTCAGGACCCCAAACTGACAGAAGCCAATATTACAGACTGTGTTCTGGTTGTCCTTGCTAAATTAGCCTAGCACAACGAGCCAGACGATGGACAGTGAACATGGCAAACCCTGTGCTGACTTCATGTTTGTATGTCAGGTGAGGAGCTTGCATCTTGGAGCAACCACAGGTCACTGATTTTAAGATAATCTAGCATTTGTGGTGGGCAACCACAGGTCACTGATTTTAAGATAGTCTAGCATTTGTGGTGGCCATGGACCATGGATGGGTCCTACCACAGACTAAACAAAGTCCAGTCTTTCCAGCCCCAACTAGAGGACTGATGCATGAGTAGTCAGGCTGTGAGCCACCATGACTGTTTTCGACTACAAGTCAGGTTTACTTTGGTTCATTGCTTCTACTGTGGCTAGTGCACTGCTGTGATATTCCCTTTGTGCAATGTATAATTGAAACAGGAAGTATGTAAATAGCACCAAAAACATCAAATATAACAATGAATGAAAGTGAAGATTATGTATACAGCCTGTGTTCCTCTGTATTGCTCTGTAAAAGGTAAATAATATGTGTTACACTAAAAATGTTTAAATTGATGTGGCTGGTAGACATGTCATCGTAGTAAACCATATCTCAAACATTAGGGCAACCTTTACTGGGAGTGAATTGTACCTGACAGACAAAAATGTTATTTTGTTTTATAATATAAATTTGTATTGTTTTTGTATGTATGAAAAACAAACAGCTGAATAATCTTTTTAAGATGACAGTATCTTTGTTAAGTAGTGTTGGCAGTGCTTCAGTTTACAGTAGTTTAGCCTGACTTGTCCACAGCCAGTGGGGAACAGCCTCTTCAGAAAGGTCAAGATCAACTTACTAAGCCTGGCTAGACCCAGATGTGTCAGCCGTCCAGACACTTACTCGGCCTAGGTCAAGACTGGCTTGGTTTCTCACCCAGAGTTTGCATTGCTTTCAGTATGTATACATTATTCACACAATAAGTGATTTTCAGTGGTATAAGATTTAAATTAACCTTAGAAAAATAAAACACCTGGTACCTTTATGCCGCATCTGGAATACCACCAGATAACTCAAGAATGATTCATGATTCACATTGATAAAATGTAACAATGCCCTAAACAGGGCAGGGCTAGTACCATGGATTAAGCACATTAACGGTTACAGCCAGGAGAGTTCGTCCCTGTCAAAACCACCAGTGCCTCCCCACAAAGAGCCTCCTCAGAGACCCCCCACCATGGCACCAAGGAGACCTCTTCCAAAGAAGACTGAGCCAACCGAGCTCAAGCCTCCACCTGCTCTAAAAGAAGCCCAGGACGTTCCCAAGGCTAGACCACCATAGCTCAGAAGACCCCCACCCCCTAAAACCAAAGGGTCTGTTCAGTCAGCTGCAAACAAAGAGAATAGTCCAAAGTTAATAAAACCCCCATTCCTCCCCAGCCCCAGTTAAAGAGTGAGAATATGTAAAAATGTAAGAGAAGAAGTCAAGGGCTGGATCCCTTCAAATGATCTGAGCAAGAAACCTTAGTGTGAGTCTGCTCTTCAAACCATCACTTTAGGATTAAATAGATAAAGGACAAAGGATTAAAATGAACAAATTGTCACTACTTTGTAGCTAATTAGCCTTTTTCTTATTTATAGGTACATTATCTTTAAATTTACATAGTTTAATTTTTTCAAGGATATTTTAAACTGAACCAGCAATTAACACATGACCTTATGGGTCTTGTAATGTTTACTTGTTTTTATCTAAATATTACACAAAATATTAGGTAAAGTTATGTGTTTTTGTTGCCTAATGCTAGTTGTAGCCTGTGCCAGTCTTACCATCACATAGGCTAGATGCTTCAGGACTAGATGTATCTACACCCACGCCTTCTATGATACGGTGCCTCAATAGTATATGCAAAGTTCATCAATGCTTAATAAACTTTATGCAACTGTAAACATAGTTTGGTAAAACCTTTGACTACAGGTCTAAAACGCTGCTCCTCCACATCGAGAGGAGCCAGCTGAGGTGGCTCGGGCATCTGTTTCGGATGCCTCCTGGGCGCCTTCCTAGGGAGGTGTTCCGGGCATGTCCCACCGGGAGGAGGCCCCGGGGAAGACCCAGGACACGCTGGAGGGACTATTCTCTCGGCTGGCCTGGGAACGCCTCAGCATTCCCCCGGAGGAGCTGGAGGAAGTGTCTGGAGAGAGGGAAGTCTTAGACTGCTGCCCCTGCGACCCGGTCCCGGATAAGCGGAGGAAAATGGATGGATGGAAAGTATCTAACCAATATCTATCTGACTAAAAATACCTAACAGACCAGACTGATTAAATTTTCTGTTGATTTTATACAGTCCTCTTCTGTCTTCTCTTCTTGCACTTTCAACAAAAGAACTGGGTTTTTCTAACACTTTAGTCAACACTTCAGTGTCGTAGCACAAGGATGAAACAATATATATGTTTGATAGATTGCCTGGGACAGCTTTCATTCGTAAACCATTTATTGCTAGATTGTTTCTTTTCTGTAACTCGTCAGTGGGACTATGACAGTGTCCTCATTAAATGCTACATTTTCTTAAGTTTGTTTGGTTTTGTTGTAACCTTAAAGTGAATGGAGAGGTACATTAATTAAAATAATACTTTTTCATTGTGATGTGCTGGCCCACTTAGCTTCACAAGTCACGAAAAGTAATTAAAAATAATTTAACTGCTAAGAACCTGTACACTGGAAAGAGCAGGCTTCAATTTTAGTTTTATGAATTTTAGTCAGAAATGTTACATGCTGTATTTGCTTCAACCCCCCTATCCAAGTAAATTCCCCCTACAAAGTAAATCATTTATAGCTACACTAATAGAAAATTCAATGAAAATAAGTAAAAAAAAATGCAGCCATCTCACAAATTTCCACTTTGTTATATGTACAAATATTGCTACATAGGTTTAAATACTCATATTCTTTTATGAAGTTCAACAGATTTGCCATTTACACAAGTACAGACAGTACAGGTAAATAGGAATATGTTGTGTATATCTCTGAGTCTGCATACAAAAAAGTGCAATATAAATAGTGTACAGGAGATAAAAGCAAAGAACCTTTCTACAGCTTTTACTAATATAGTTAAAAATCAGATTTGTCACTAATATACAAACAAAACATTATTTTTAATATTTTACTGTTATGACAGTGTTAATACTAATGTGTAATGTGCCAGGGGCAGTTGAATGTTGTAGTTGGTCTAGATGGAGCTAATTTAAAAATATTTAATGTTTTGTATGTAGAGGCTAAATTTGCAAAGTGAGTAAAATAAATGTAATGGAGGAAAAGCTGTATTTACACCTGAAATGTGGTGAAGTAGAAGTGTAAACTAGCATACAATGGAAATAGTCAAGTAAGGTATAAGTAGTGATGGCTGATCGAGGCTTTGTTGAAGCTTCGACACAGTATTCACAAAAT